TAATAACTATTAAATTATTTTCTACTTATTCTCTCTTCTAGAATAGAAACTGGAATCAAAACACAACTTGTAGTGCTGGTTAGATACTAGGGTGTCCCTTTGATAACCTCTTGTCTTTGTTACTCGGATTGTCTCCCTCTCATGGACAAGATGGAGAAAAGGATTAATGTCTGGAAAAACAAGTGTCTTTCGTATGTAGGTCGTCTTCAGTTATTTGTGTCTATTCTAGCATCTGTTCAGGTGTATTGGGCATTTGATTTTATTCTTTCTAAAGCTGTCGCGGAGGCTATAGAAAAGCTGATGAGAAGGTTTTTGTGGTCTGGGAGTAATATGATGAGAGGTAAGGTGAAAATCGCTTGGAAAGATATTTGTTGTCCCAAGTCAGCGGGAGGTTTGGGCATTAAGCCTCTTGGTACTTGGAATATCTCCTTGATGATGTATCATATTTGGAGCATGGTGACTAGAAAAGATTCCATGTGGGTTAAGCGGATTCATACCTTTAGGCTCCGGGGAAGAAGTTTTTGGAGCGTTCATACTCCTTGGGATGCCAGGCGGAGCTGGTGCAAAATGTTTAGCTTGCGGGATAAAATCTGAAACCATGTTAAGAGTCTCTATTGGTGATGGGCAGCGTACTATGTTGTTGTATGACCATTGGCATCCCCTCCTTATATTCCTTGGTTCCTGCTCAGAATTTCCATTCTTTAGGTTTGGACCATGAAGCTAGAGTAAGTAGTATTCTTGTTGACAGACAATGGGTTTGGCCAACCCCTTTCCAAGAGATGTTCCCGCAGATTGCTTCTCTTATGCCCCCTCTCGCTAGTGGCCTTAAGATTCATAAAAATATATATTTAAGAATTCCTCAATATTAATTATTTTTTTCTAATTAAGAAAATAATACATTTAATTCTTTTGGAATAAGACCTATTTAGTATTATTTATTCCAACATAAAGTATCATTAATGATCAAATTTCTACATTTATATATTTCTTTTTATAATAAAATGTTATCACTTAAGAATATTATAATTAAATGTAAATTAAACTTTTTTTTTAAAACGCTTTCTGTTGTAAAATTCCAGCATTTCATTATCTTCTCGGAAGAATACAGAAGAAATAAAATTTCATTCTATTCTTTTCAGTTTTTTCTTCGTAATATTTTTTCAATATTATACACAGGATTAATATAGTCATTTTCTAGTGCGAATTTAAAATTTTCAGGAAATCAGTACTTAGTAATTTTCATATATATAATTCAAATTAGTATCAAAATCTAAAAATATTTAAAATATAACAAATTAATATATACTTATTTTATTATAACCTTAATCAAATTATAATGGATACTATTCTCTTAACAATAAAATGCCTTGAAATATTTTTATTATAACCTTAATCAAATTATAGAAAACTTTTCCCTAAAGTTTCTGCTTTCCTTTGGATGGCCCTGATGGGATAAAAAGTAAATTCAAATTTTATTTGAAGAAACTTGCTGAACTTAAATTACAAAATAAAATAACCCACCGTAGATTCACTTTCAGATCTCATACCAGTGAACTAAAAATTGCGAATTAAACATGAACCAAGAAAGGATCTATATATTGAAACACCAAATTTTTATTTAAAGCTCAGAGTTTTGACAACATGCTCAGCTAAACCAAAATCCAGGATTAAGTTTGCAAACATAAGGGGCTTTCAGGCAATGGCTATGTGAAACTAAAAGTTCCTTTAATAGTACCAAAGCCAAACTAAAGAACACATTATTGTCAGCTACACCTTCATTCATGGGACTTGACTATGAAATTCTGGCGAGTGATAGGATTCATGACCACAGGTGGCCCGGCTGTTCGAGGCCATGCCTGGAATTTCTTGTCAGTTTCTTCCCACCAATTTTTAGTCGCAACAGTTTGAGGGGTAGTTCCTGGATTATCATTAAAAGGAAAAGAAAATATATAACCCAACAGCTGCACCAGAAAAATAATGAAGCTTCAAAATGGCAACCACAACTTGCCTCCTAATATTTTCTTATCGGAAACAAGCTGCTCACACACATATGAGATTGCAAACGATCCCACCACAGCTGCTATTATACACTTGGTTGTCATGCTTAAACTATAAAAAAAAAAACAAGAAAAGAGCACAATGTCATGGGAGAATCCAAATATGATACTTAAAACAAGGACCTCCCAAGCTATAAGGACCAGCTATAATAATCTTGTTCAAGCAGCTACTTTAGAGATATTAGACTTCAATCAGTGACCTTTATGGCCCAGTGATGCCAACAACCTCTCATGTATGGGAGTTCGATGACTTTGTACGCAGCTTAAAAGAAATAAATAAGAACCTAGCAACAGCTATTTAACCACAGAAAAGAGAAGATAAAAATTAGTTCTCAAAGAGAAACTAGAGGATCTGGAAGACACAAAAAGGAACCAGGGTACAGGAAGAACTCAATTCCACAGAACAAATAGCATTCCATAACTGCAAAATTCTAAAAGGAAGAATCACGGTTGCTCAAACTCTTAATATAACTAAAGGGCATGAAATATCATTGACAAGTATTAATTGAGAAATAATACATTACCCACAATTGAGGAACAAGTAATAAAACAGGGACAAATCCCGAACAAAAAGTCAGATAAAAGCATCCATAACATTTAGGAGCATCAACTTAACCCAATCTCTTTCTGCCCCCAACTGTAGTCCAGAATTCAGAACAATGTTACCGAAGCAAACAATAGAAAAACCACCTTATCACAATGATATCCAAAATCCAATCTACATGCTTCTAACTTTATCTAACTCCAACAAATCCCTTCCTCCTCAACAACCCAAAAAAGTAGCATAAAATACCTTATTTCAAAATCTCTCAGCTCAAATACTATACGGTATTGCTTGCTATTCAATAGCAAGATCCAAATTCTATCTCAAGTAAAACAATTATCGCTCATATAATGCACAAAATATATCACATGCAACACGCAAAACAACATTGAAAGATTATGTTTTTTTTTTCACCTCCAGTGATTAACAGATGTTAAAACAGAACAGATTCTCATAGCATCAGCCTGTATCGTTACACAATTTTTCATATTTACAAAGTAGAAAATGCAATTATTATCAGAAAATATAAAATTTTCATTTATGATCAGAGAAAGCTAATAAGGAAATAAATAACATGAACTCTACATAAATTAAGAATAAATAGCGAGATACCGCACAAGACTTTTTTTTTTTTTTTTTTTTTTGCCTGAATTTTCACGTTAACCAAACAGAACCACGAAAGTTGAAGAAATTAAACTCTAACTAACCAAAAGAAGAAGACAGAGAGATTGATTTGATCTCAAGAGTAGAGTTGATCGTTTTGTTGAATTGAACCTTTCCCTCTGTAGTTTTAACTTATATCTAACGGTTACAAGCGAGAAATTTGAGCTTGAACGACACCGTTTAAAGCCAAAATACTTTTTTGTCATTGGCGAAATTCAAGGATATCAGTTCATTTAATTTACAAGTTTATCCTTTTGTTTTGGTGTTCGTTAATTAGTTGAAAGATATTCTCTTAATGATGCACTTCAAAGGGAATTTTATTATTAATAATTTTATTAATTACGAATTTAATCCTATATTAAATTTACCTTAAATTGTTTTTTTTTTTCAAATACTTTTAAAACCCCACTTCGATGTTTTAATCCTTAATTCAAGTTATATTTTTAAAGAAAAACCAGTTGGAAAAAAAAAAAAAAAGTAAAGATTTAATGTTAATTATTTTATTTATTTATTTGCATTAGAATTGTTAATTTGTTATAGTACTAATAATATAAAAATGTTAAGAATTCTTTTTTTTTTTTAATTATTATTATTATTACTTATTGCTTCTCAAAATCTTAATTTTTTATTGGTTGTAGTGGAGCTTGCTCGTACCAGTATCACAACATGATGCAGCAAATGCTTGTATTTTCTTTGCTAAAGGTTTTTTCCTCTCTTTCCTAACAACACAACGAATTATAAGATGATTAAACATCAAATAACATTTAAAATTACACATCTTACAAAATCGAACTACGTATCAAGACAATTTCAATGATTACACCAAATTTTTTAATTCAATTACAACAAAAAAAAAAAAAAAAAAAAAAAAAATTGTAAGAATCAAGGATCTTATCTTGGTATAGTGTGCAAATAACCTAAATAGGTTGTCTTGACGATTAAGAATGTTTGCTCCCTTCATTAATTTCATATATTCAAACAACTTTGAGACCCCTTACTACATTTGTACTTTATCTAGATCATTAGGTTTATAAAATATTTAATTAGTTTCAGAGATTAATTAAGGTGTGCGCAAGACACAAGTTAGTCTGAATACCATGATTAAAAAAAAAAAAAAAATCAAATATTTAAACATGTGGTGTCTATGATTTAGGATGTGGAGAAAGAAAAATGGCAGTGTGTATGTTTGTTGGGTGGTTAGAGGTAAAAGCAATTTTGTATTTGATGGAATTTATTGGTCATAAAGATTTAAGGATTAAGAAATTGGTTGATTTTTATCCATTAATGAGATATGTTAATTAATTTGATATAGTTATGTCACTCACCATGTCATCTCGTAATTATTGTGATATTTTGAAACAAGAAATTCGATGGAGTGTAACAATTTAGCAAGTTCTGAATCATCTGATGATGACAAAGAAAAGAGCAACAACCTGAAAATTCATGGTGTAAAACACCCTTTAATGTTATACTTTCTTATTTGTATAATCTAATTAATTAAAGGATACTACTATTTACATTCAATAAACTCATCTTAATACCCTTTTTCCTTTTTAAGTACATGTACATTCACAGTTACAAATAAAAAATTACTTAACATTTTTATAGTTTCAACATAAATATTGACATATCATTTGTCACAATATTTAAGATATAAAGTTGAGATATTTACTTTGTTAGATTAATATTATTGTTTACAAAATTCACTTTTCAAAAGAGAAATCTCAACCCAACAACAATATATTTTTTTTCTATTAAAGACAAATTTTCTTAAAAAAAACAATCCCTTGTTAGATGTCATTAAAAATGGACACAATTGTCCATTTAGTACATAAATGATCAAAGCCTGAAGTTCTACATACAACTCCATCATCACAAATTCACAAATATACAAATACACAAATACTCTATACATCATATGGCTGGAGGATTAGTTGAAGATAGAAAACTGGTAAGGAACCAATTCCAAAATGACTGCCCCATACACTCAGTATATGCAAGAAATTATTTTATCTTTAAAAAAAAAAATATTTGGGAGTAACAAACTCACCAATCTAGATTTGCAACAATGATTATTCCTGCAAATCCCAGGAATCAAATGCAGAGTGTACGGTAACAGTGCATTCTTCTCACCGGGAAGATCAAGAGCTTTTAGAATCGACAAGAAATAATGTGGATTTTGCAGCTTTGAGGCCTCCGAGTTCTTTAAGCGACAACCCAACCGAGTATTTATAGTTTCTTGTCTAGCTCAAGGAGAAGTACTTTTATATACTTGTGTAGGATCAACAACCAGCGGCTTTTAGGAAGTTATCATATGGACTTGATGCTGGCAGTCTGAAGAATTGAGGATTATGCTGGTACTCAGCTGCGCATTGCGTTGGAACAGTACTGGCTGATGATTTGTTCAAATTGGCTGTGAGGTTCTCATTGAGGAATGGATTGCCAGCCTGCAAAGTTTATTAATATTTAATAAGTTAAGGGGCTAAGCATGATTCACAACAACCTTTAAGAGTATAATTAATTGAGCAACCAGTTAGAGTGTAACTCGGAAATTTGTTCCATAATACAAGTAAATTTTTGTGTGAATAATTATATCTGCATCTATGTGGAAAATGAAGAGTCAAAGAGCAAGGAAGTACCGCATGGGAACCAACATCAACATGTGAAGGAAAGGCCACATTCTTAGCCTCAACTTCATGGTTTTGAACAGAGACACGAATCAAACTTTCTTGCCTCAATTGAGCATTCATCAAATGAGACATCTTCTGCTGCTTTCCCATTAGGAGTGCCTCACAGTGACCAGCCATTTCCTTGTAAGGCATGTCAGGTCTAGTGGAGACCGAAATTCTCCCAACTTGATGTGTCGTCTCCAAGACCTGAGCACACAAACCATGGAAAAAATTATCTTTTGCTTCCTTTTTTTTTTTTTTTTTTTTCAATAATGTAATTAATAGCTTTCAAGTGAATTCTAGATCTGTAGATCCAATTTTGTGCTGAAGTAGGTAGCATCTTCAGGGAAGAAATAATAGTGTAATAAGAAACTGATTTTTACAATAAATCAACCAGGGCCTGTTGTACTTGTTATAGACTTTATAGTGGAAAAAAAAAAAAAAAAATTTTAAAGCAATAACAGAGTAAAATATGAATTACATACTGATTCTAGAATTTGATTGACACTCAACAGGTGGGGCACTCCCACGGCCAACTCTGTATTGACTTTTGCTTGACTTTCGCTTGAATCTGTAAAACCTTCATCCTCTATTGAAAAAAGAAGAGCAGTCTGCACCAAACAATTCAGATTTTTTGAGTTCAAAGCATAAATTTTAAGATATGGAAGATATTTAAATAATTACCTCCTTCAGAGATTTACTATGATTTGGATCGATAAGATATACTTTGTTCGGAGTATCCATGAACTGTGCTCCCAATGGACATACATCATCAGGTAAGAATTCATTAAGTAGTTGCTCTTTTATGGAGCACAATTCAGACTGCAACAAGATATCAATAATTAGAGTGAATACATTACAATATGTAATACTAATAGAAAGCATATCAAAATGCTCATAGGGTTCATATAAAAGTACATCGGACAAGTTTTCCAAGCTATTCACAATCTCAGAAGCAAAGCTTTCCCGAGTTTGGTCCTGTGTGATCTCTATTTCTGAGAGGAATTTCAAAGCCAATCTATCATCTTCTTTTGATCCAAAAACATTTTTCGGGTGGTCAGCTTCCTTCTTAATAACCTGCAACTTGTGATCTCCAACCAAGCATAAAAAGGGATCCACCTGATTTAAGCACACAGAGATGGTAAAAAGCTGTCACTGAGTTTGATCTTCCATATATTTATCAACTTTAAAGCAAAAGGAAACCAGAAATGCTAGCTCTTATGCTTGGAAAGCTACTGCCACTGTCAGACCCAGAAAAAAAAAAAAAAAAAAGAAGGTACTGCCTTTTGGTACAATATGGATTGCTTTATGCACTCTTATCAGATGCATAAACAATAAGGATCAAGTTCTCATAGTAGACATAATAACTTAAATACAAAATAAATACAGCAATTACAATTCACCAACAATAGCCACTTACATTTTTCTCTGTAAGTGTCACTCTGGAAGACTGAACAAGCGGAAGAATGTTATAAGCTTTTGATGAAAAGAGAATCATAGAAGTTGCCAAGGTGAAGAGGGACCTGCGACGTGATGGTAGGAGTGACTCTGTAATAACAGTGCACATTGGGCTTGAGATGATGCATTAATATCTCAAAAAACTGTATCATTTTTCAGTTTATTACTATGTAAGTGGTAAATGGTAAAAATGCAATTCAAGCACTAGCTAATTTTGCAAAATAACTTTTGAATATACCTATATCTTAACACCTACATACATGAACCTTAAAACATCTAAACTTTTAATATGCATTGAGTTCTTGTATATTTTATCAAATTTGGCTTTCTTGATTTCTCCTTGAGAAAATTTTGGCTTCAACATTGTTTGGAGTTAATTTAAGTCCCCAATCTATATATTCCCTGAGTTTATACTTGTTTTCTATTTGCACCAGACACAATTTAAAAAATTTAAAGTACAAGATACGATCATTTGCATCCATAAAATTCTTATTGCTAGATTATAAATGGTTGTCTAAAATGGCCTGCAAAAGAAATCCTTTAATTTCTCAAAGAAGAGAGGGCTAGTACACGATTCTATGATGGTAAGGATCCAATCACAATGTTGCAAAGCATAGAACTTTTACCAAACTTATATGTCATGTACTATCTACATGTTAGACATTTCTAAAGCATAGTTAAACACTAATAGCACAACCAAGTATTTGCTAATAAATTGCTTCAAAACTTGAGTTCACCAAAGAAACATTAACAAGCGATAACCCTATTTTTCTACATTCTAATTCATAGTAGCATAGATTCATAATTTTTTGCTTAGATTGATGATCTTTTCACTTTCTTTTATTCTTCTTTTCATTAGGTTTTCAATTAAATAAAGAATTTGCCAATTTTTTAAGGAAGCAACACGTAATTATGATGAGAGTTCAGTTCCCAACAAAATGCATAACTGTATTGCAGCAGGTAGTGAGATTGTGCACATATGCTCTAATTTATTAGTACATTGAAATATGTTTACGAAGATTCAATTGTTTTTTCTTTTTAAATCAAGAATGTCCAAGATTTTTTGAAAATTTTATTTTATTTTCAATAATATATGGCTAGAAACCAGAACGTGCAACATTTCCTAATCAGCATATACTTCTTCCAGGTAAATTAAGGTACCATGCATTCTCATAGCTTTTTAGTTATGTACAGGCATATTTATAAGAAAAATTATTTATAGTCATTAAGTGTACAAAACAATATGTACATAGTGCATATATAAATATTGTGGAAACTAAATCCTAATCCATCAAAAGCTGTTTGCAATTATAATCATACTTTTGAGAGCTTACCTCCTTCGGTGAGAGAAATGTTTCGCAAGGAAAATGCAAGCTGAAAACTTCGAATCAGAACCTCATGACTGGAGTTCTGTTAGATAAAATTAAATAAAGATAAGAATCTCAAGAAAAAATGGAAAATAAAGGCCAACTCTAAACTTTTAGACAATAATTAAATATAACAACATAAGTAGAATGAGTACAATTCCTCAAAAATGTAATAAGTTGCTTCTCATAAACCCGAAAACTCAAAATTCGTACACGATATATATTTCAAATAAAGTTACACAATGGTGAATGAGCAATGGATAACATTTAAAAGGATAACAAAAAGCCAACAACTTCGTGTGTTGAGAAACCATTAATCACAATAACACAAACTGATAAGAGAAGGTCCAGCAATAGTGTTTAAAACTCCACTAAGCAACCACACATGCAATTCCAAATTTAATTAATGGGTTTATCACATATATAACACAAACAATAAAACTGAGGATCCAAGCACAGCCCTACACTCTTATGGGTTTATTATTTAATTAATGTCATGAAGGAATAAACAATTTGTCCCAAAAACTTAGGCATATCGAAAAAAGCCCAGCAATAGTATTTAAACTCTTAACACTAGAGAAGATAAACACATTTCTATCTATTGAAAACAAAAAACAAGATTCAAGGCATATAACGAAGAAATCCCAGAAAAACAGAAAAATTTATCAATAAAGAGAAGTCTACGTTATAAAAGTTTCAATTAAATGTAGGAAAAATGACAAAGCTTAACTTCCCCCCTAGTATAAAACCTACGGTCATAGGTTTTAAGGGTTCCTAGGATTGCGGTCAAAGATGTGATAATATTAATTGACATTACAAGGAAGTAAGTTCAGGAAAAGTAACCTGACCATATCACTAAACAACTCATATGAGCCTTACTAATGACAGAACTTCCATCGAAAGTGCGTATGATTGGAGAAACTAGTAAAACTCGTGAGTTTTAAGTCATGGGCTGCTTAAGAAAAATATGAATGGCTATAAGCGGCCTGCCTTAATCTTCCCTGGTTGTGATTGTGGAGACTGCATTTTATGATAGAAACATATAACAACTACCAAATGTGATTCAAGCATTGGGCAGATGTACAGATGCAAGAGAAACAACATCTGAGAAATGAACCTGCATAAATAGCATCACCAATTTGTAGAAAAGGCTACAACCATATAAAGTCAGTGCAGCAATTACCTTGGCTCTAGAGAAAAGCAATACAAGGCTGTACGTATGTGCAATTGCTTCAAAGTTTTCAGGTGAATTTGCAGGAGAGATAGACTGTGCCCAAATTGATGAAAGCAGGAGTGTAATCTGGCGGCTACTCAACCTTAATGAATTAGCATCCTGAGACAAAATGGAAAGTCACAAAAAAATCGATGAATGGTCATAAAAACACTATGTGTTAATAAATGCTTATAGAGTTGACTGTCCAGAAGATTCAATTTTAAAGGATTTAAGGAACACACCAAAAAGCTTAACTAGCTGTCATGCCTAGTATAGCATAAATGTATAAAAGCTAGGGTCCTAATCAATCTAATATATGGACTCAGTTTTAACCTAACACCACTGTTTATAGAACTTAGAAGTCAGAATTGAGCCCAATCCTATGGACAAAAATCATTGCAGTTGAGGTATGTATTTTAAACTGCCATCGACTATTTTGTAAAGCTCAGCTTGCTCAAGATAAAAAATATTGCCCTGACAAGTAGATAATATGACTTAAGTTCCTAATTCAGATCAACACACCAAAACCAGGTTTGAAGGTCAAGGGAGATACAAAAGTCAGACCCAGCCTTGAGCTAACTGGATTTCAGATAATAATTAATGTAGTGTAAAGTAGATCATACAAGGAAAAATCTTTACAAGATACCTAATTTTGAAAAAAAAAAAAAGAAAAAGTTTGAGATATTGACCATATTGCCTAAACTTACTTGCTCTTTTTTGGAATTGCTCACAGATTTTCCATCAGTTGTTGATAGAGGGGGATTTTTCACACTATATACTCGACTATAAGATGACTTCAATCTATTAAGCACTCCATTATTATTGTTTCTTGGCTGTCCCTCACTAACAACATTATTTTTGTTGTCTTGATAAGGATTTTCCCTTGACAAAGATTTATCACTTCTTAGCTTGTCAAAAAGGGCAGCTGAAGACGAAAAGACAGAGACAGTTCTTGAGAGTGCCCTTGGAAGATCCATTGCCTTCTTTGGCTCAGAATTATTTGTGGATGGATGAACTGAAGATGGCACAAGAACAACAGAAAATATCTGGTGGGCACCAATCCGTGTTTCATGGTCTGGATGGACCATCGCTGGGAGTAACTGATGAAATAAAGCCTCTGGGAATGCCTGAGAGAAAGAAGATTAATTAAACGCCAAAATACAAAATAATAAAACACATAAAAGAATTATGAAACTAAACCAACACACACACAAAAGTGTCTTTCTTGCCTTATTTTGGTATGATAAATTTGGCATAGAGGCCACAATTTGAGCTGCTCGATATACAGCAGTAATTGTGGTTCTGGCTATGACTGTAATTGTTGAGATATTCTCCAACATCACAGCCATAACATCAAGAATAGGGCCTGCATCTCCAATCTGTGTGCACAAATAAAAGCTCAGTTATTTCATTTGTTTAAATGAACAAGCAGAATATAGTAGTTAAATGCATAAACTTTGATAAATTAAATGAACAACAGTCCAAAATTAAACATGTGAATCAAAACAATTGCCCTAGAAAAAGTTTTAAAATCCATGAGATTTCAGCATGAATTCAGAAACTAAATGGCATAAGTATCACCTTATCTGACAACTGTACGAGGCACTTATCCACTGCTTCTCTAAAGCTTTTGTTCCATCTTTTTATCTCAGCTCCCAGATTTTCATCATCAAGTGAACAGTGTATGCTCTTCCGCAAGTGCCTCATTACATCACTGACTGCAGCAATTATTGCTACAGAAGGCTCAACCTTTGTTTGTTGAGCAAGAAGTGTGGTAACACTAACAATGTCAAGTTGCATGTTTGGTTGCTTAAGAACATTTTTATGATCAAGATGCTTAATCATTGTGGAAAGCAAAAAGTGTGTATTTTGCCCTGAAACACAAAAAAAGAGGGATGTGGTATCAATCTATGTATTAAATTATAACTAACCACGGAAAGAATATTCAACAAGTAGCAATATGATCAAGAAACAATAGATTCTAAAATATGCCTATGAAAAGTTAGATATTACACAAGTACCAGTATTATCCATTAAAATTTGCAAATCCTTCAACACCGAGAAGGCAAGACCATTATCAAGAGACCATAAATTTTCATTATCGAGATAACGGAACAAGGACTCCAGAATTCGCCGAATGGTTGTAGCCTCCTTTGCTAGCTTAGCCATGTTGTGCAGGCAAACCCTGGACCAAAAGCATGGATTCTGGGCATCTTCCCTATGGGAGGGGGGAAAAACCTTTTTGAGAATTACAAAAACATAATAATATATAAATGAATGCGGAGAATTTTAGGCTAAGAGATTACTCTGTCACATTTATTTCGCCTTTGTCATTGACAATTATCCTCAAAGAAGGAACCTTTGTCAAGGCATCTGGCAAAGGATTGACATGACCCTCTATTTTGCACACTTCTTGTAACCACCTGTGTTGGTCAGGGTTCTCCGTGTTTTTCTTAGGACCTCCATAATTTTCCAAAACCACAGAAACAACCTATATGATATATTAAGAATTAAAGAAAGTCAACAAAGATACTGAACATAATCTAATGTTTTATATTTCATCACCAAATTCTACATGAAGATAACAAGATTAGGAAGAATCATGAGCTGATACTAATTGTACGAAACTTCTCCTATTAGAAATTTGACAGCTTAGACACTCACAAAACTCATAACCACCAATATCTGAGAGTGCTACTGAGAGGTGCATCTGAACTTACCAAAATAATATCAACATGTGAGTGTAAATAAAAATTTTCATGGAACTTCCATGCTTAATCATAGTTATATATAATTCTTTTACAAGTAGATAAATCCATCATAGTTTAGCATATTTAATATGCATTTGCACAAACATATATATGTATAGTTGTGTCCTTGTCTAGACTTAAGGAGTTGCCAAGTATGATACTTAGAGTCTAAAGCACAAAACTCAGGTTTGCACAAACATAATCGTAGATGAGTTATATCATTATAAACAGTCAGCTCTAAACATAGTTAAGACATTTCCAAAGATGAATACTTGAAACTTGCTCACTTGATACGTATTTGCACAAATCTTTACAGAATTAAAGAAATGCAACTGCTTGGGTTTGCAAACGTGACAACCACTCAAGAAATCTTTTAGTCAGTATGCTTTAATATTTACCAGCAACTTATAGAGGAGGCAATCGCAGACACCATCACCAACTTGCCCAAAGAGATAGTGCTTGGACATATTAAGAGCACTAATGTGTTGAAGAATCCACATAAAAGAGTAGCATGGATGTGATGGTGTTACCTGAATCTTACCCATCAATGTCTAACTCATGATCTGTCTCGGTAGTTAATCAATTTCTAAGACTATTTGGAATTTACTAAGACTTTAAGATGCAGAGGTTAAAATATTTAGATGTTAGCCTTCAAGTAATCCATTTTTTTTTTTTTCCTATCTTCTTCATCTCTGTCCTGCCTTTGAGTATCCCATATTCAGCAATTATGGATATCATCCATAGGTGTACGCAAATCCAATGCAGTTTCTTTATGGATACTATCAAGAAGTTCATGCAATCCAGTATAGTTTCTCTATCACTCCAGAACGATCAAGTTCAAATGAGAATTCATTCTCTTTTGGTCAAACAAAGATATATTTCTGGTCTCTCGGTGAATAATGATCAGGTGAAACACAATAAAATTAAATCTCTCCTGCAGAGGATGCATGTAGCAGCATTCTCTATTAATCTTTTTGTGGAATGGTAGATGGAGTAATTAGAGCTGTTGAGAGTCATAAACCTGATAGCAATACTGTGTCTATGATCTCCTTGTAACTGTATCCCCATTACTCTTCCTCCGCTTTATAAGAGAAACTCTAGGTAAATAGGTGCATGCAAGGTTTGTTTAATAAAAGACTGTTATCAATGGTTAAGCAAATGTTATAAGTAACTGGTTGCCACTTATCAAAAAATAATTTTCAAGAAATCAAAAAGGAAATAACTAGCAATCAACTCCTTGACTTCTATCAAAAACTAGTGAAAACAAGTTCTAGAAACCTTCATAATTAACGAAAATGTAGAAAGTCTCTATGATTTCCTGTCACTCAACCGAAGACCTTAGGACAATAATAAAGGGGTGAAAATACAACACTTGGAGCAATAAAATGCAACACTAGTTCAGTAAGTTAAAATACTTACATTGTCGAACTCAGCCGAAATATGAGAATGCTCACCCATAAACCGCACCTACACAGAAATAAGATAATCATATTTGCATTAGGATATTTTCATAAATAATATTATATATAAATATAAAAGTTAAAGGGACAAAAAAATGAATGTAAAAAATATTTCCAGTATAATTCCAGCAGGTTTATGAGCTAAAGAAGACAGGGATCCAATTTCACATTGGAGAGAAACGTGGAAATGAAACACAAGTATATTCAAATCAGAGTATACAATTTTAACCAACATACAATGGCATGCATAACTATGAATTTATTTTGGATCGAGCTGGAAAATTTAAAAAAAAAAAAAAAAAAAAAAAAAAAACTTAATCATACAGTATATGTTTTGTTTTAATAAATCTCAATGGTATAATGGAAATTTTAATAGAAAGTACAGCTACATTAGCCGATTATTCTCATGACCAAAATCCACTCAACTTTCATGGCCAAGTGACACATCCTGAAGCATCTTCTTCAGGTGCCTCCTAGATGCTCATGTTTGAATTAATGCAAAATCTGTTTGATCCAGTGATCGAAACTGAAACAGCCCCCTCATTCACAGAGCACAATTATATGGCGGGGAAGACATTCACCTTCCAGCCCGAACCCAGCAGAACATTCAAACATTTAAAACTTGCATGCCCATCCACAATTAGAACATTCTATCCCCAAGGGAAAAAAACAATCTAGAGTAGTTGCATTTGGTTTCTAGATCCACATCTAGGCTTCCACATAGAAGGAAACTGTTAAAACTAATTTTTTTATGCAATTTTCTAGCTTCTTAAGCTTTTAGAGTAACCCATTTAAAGAGAATGATAAGAGCCACTCACTGATGTTTTCCTTATCTTTTTAATTGCCACATCAGTCACGACCAACTCTCATCCCAACATGGCAAAACTATGCACCTCATGGGAATATCTGTAGATACTGAATGTAGCTATATTGCATAATCCAAAATACTCCTTTCACAAGATTATCCTCATCAGCTAGGGCTACAATAGGCTAACCATATTGTACATATCAAAAGGAAGCAACCTAAAAATTCAAGCAATACTAACTTTCCTACCAGATTGAAAATTATCTGCTCCTACGTATCAATAACTTCTAAGTAAAGAATTACTACCATGTCAAAACACATAAAATTTAGCAACGCATTCTCTGAGCTGAGTTCCGATGCAAAATAAACAAGCCACTCAACTCCCTTAACACTTATTAAAGAGGATGAATACTTTTATAACATCACAGCCTTTGCTTTCTATATCTTTTAAACTCTCATGACTGACCATAGTTAACAAAATTCACACTAGAATTCATTTTGGTAGTCAGAAAATTTAAAACCTAAACACATCTTCCTATTCCTTCTCATATTTCTCTAGTTGCAAGGAAATTTATTAAAAATAAAATAAAAAAGTATTGAAACCTCCAAGGATTTATGGTTTGGATAATTATAGACGATAGTAATAATGAAAGGAGGACAAAAAAAAAAAAGTAGAAATGTAGTACATTATGACTGCTAAAATGAGAATTCTGTATGAGCAATTTAAGTTTTCCAAATCATTCCACATTTAAGTGCAGGTGACCAATCACATATAAATTCCAACTCCAAAGTCCAAACGTCAAAACCAAGTTGAGGTCTCTTTTTCCTTTTATTTTCATTTTCTAATATAATCCCAAGCAAGCATTACATATATTTAAGTTATTGATACACAAGTAAGCACCTTTTAAAGAACAAAATTTCAAAATGAATTTTACTAACTTTGGGACAATACTAGAGGGTACAAATAAAGTGGATAAAGTATAAAAGCTTAAAACATTTCATGATTGATTAAGGTAATCTCCTAAAAACACTTTAAAGATATTGCCTAAGTGGAAATATTTCATCACTATAAATCAGTTAGTCAAAGTGGAACACATTGACTAAGTTCCAGTCAATTTCTGAGAAATTGAACAGAAAATAATTTTAAATTTTAAAGCAAATGAAACTTGTTGAAAAGTAGTGGTCTGCAACAGCAAGAGACAAGAGGTGCATGGCACGATTCAGGCAATGATGTTCTCACCAATTCAGGCTGGGTTATGATAATCAACCACCTCTGAGTTGATATTTGGAGTGGTTAGTGTCAACCACGACAAACAAGAGGTGGTGCAGCAGTTTTTAAAAAGTAAGAGAGAGAGAGAGAGAGAGAGAGACTAAGAATTATGTACTGATTCAAAAATAGTACAGGGTTTATAGTCTGATTCAAAAATAGTACAGGGTTTATAGTCTAGCAACAACAACAAAAAAGTAAATGACAACTAGAATACCCCACAGACTTATATAGGTAATATTCAACTAAGTGACATTCAAGCTATATCTATTTCATTAAAACTAATACATAACTGAATGGCTTATAGTTACTTTGTGCATCATGTCAAAACAATATAACAGCATATAAGAGATAGAGAATTATATTTTCTTTCCCTACATTTCCGTGGAAAACCAACAAAAGGAAAGATGTAATAATGCACTCAAAAACAATAGAAGCAATATGGAAAGGGTACCAGTGCAGAAAGGGCTTGCAGCGCAGCTGAACGTATACTTCTGGCCCTTTCATCCTCCCCAACTTCCTGAGCTAACCGGCAGAGTTGTGGAATGAAGCCCTCAAAGTTAAACATGTGAGTCCCATCTTTCTGCCAAATTCAATACAATGAAACAAGGTCAATGTACAGTTAGCTTGCCTACAACTTTGAAACTAAGGTACACTGAAGGAGGATACCTTCCAAAACATTTCACATTCAAACATAACAAAAACAGAAAATGCACCAACCTGATTATTTATAAAGTCAAAAAGAGTCGAACATCCTACAATCTGTATTTCATCCCGTCGTGTTTGATCCAGAAGAGTTTGGATAATACTTAGTAAGCTACTAGCAAACAAAGGCCTGTAAAATTATCAAAGGTCATAAATTATGTATGATGTGGAAATTGCAACACAGATATAATTTTACTATTTACTCCAGGTAAGGAGAGGAAGCTATAAGTGGAGATAAAACAACACTTAATATTCAGCACATTACTTGGAAGTCATAGCCTTGAAAGTTGAACTCCATATTGTTAACTTGACATCAGTATGTGACTAGTTATTTAAACTTGAAAGGAATTATTGGAACAAGATGAGCGTCAGTGATATACTCATTCACATTAACCATTTTAATGTATGCATGTCTGCACAAATGTATTTATCTGTACTTAAAGACTTCAAAGGCCTAAAAGATTTCTCAACATAAGAATTGCTAGAAACGAACAAAAAATACTCATAACGTAATATGTCTCTGAATAATCTGTAAAGGTGAATAATGAAGTGCAACATTTCACATAATATAAAGAGCATAGGAACAACGGAGGGAAGAACTTACATTTGTTCTTTACAAGATATCAACAATTTTCTGTAAATGCACATGACAATTTTCGCAGATTGGAAGTTCTCATTTCTCAATTCCTTGTAACACCTTTGCTCAAGAGAGGTTGTAATCTGATCACAAAATTTCCAAATTTAAATTAAGGGAGCAACAACTTCAACTGATAATCAGAATGATCTTAGGTAACCTAGTAACTGCAAAAATAAGAACAACATGAAAGGTAAAAAAACTAAACCAATACAGTCATGCCTGTAGGGAATATATGAAATAGTACCAGATCTAACTGATATTGTACTTACATCACTTCAAAATATAAGATTCAGATGACTTGAAAGGCATTTGGTAACACATTGATGGACAAAAAAAAAAAAAAAAAGGAAGAAGAAGAAGATAAATACAGAGATAAGCAAAAGAATCAACATGAAAATTTGACCATTAGAATGGACCAGATGAATGCTTAAGAAACCTAACCAGAAAAGTTATTTCCTTGCTCATCATGAGAACGCTAACAGATTTTTCAGGGATTTCATTTTTACTTCTGAAGGTCCCTCAATATTCAAATTTTTTTTTTTTCATTTCTTGGCAATATTTACGTTGGAATCCTTTCGGATTGTGCCTTTGGAATCTGTAGAAAAAAAAGTTAAAAACTTACAGGGGACTTCATGGCATTCTAGAGCTCACCCTTAACTACTCACCATTATAGTTGATAGGAACAAAAACAAAACACCAAAAGAATTTGTAAAGATCATGTACTTTTAGCTGCCGAACTTCATTAAAAAATTAATCACACTAAGTTTAGCAATGATTACATTAAGAAATTATTACAAGAATAACAATAAATACATTATGGATCATCTAACGATCAATCTATGAAGTACCATGATGCTTATTGTCCAACAGTTTTCTTCAATTATACTATAGTTTTAACTTTTAAGGCAACTAAAGCAAGTCAAAAAATTTTTTATAATTATCCATTGAAGGATTCTAGAATTGCCACAGACATAAGTCTATTCTTTAGTATATTTTAATAGAAAACTTAAAAAAAGAAAAGAAAAAACAAGGGGTAATAAAATGGGGTGGCAACCCTTAATCAAATAAAAGTGTGGAAAAAAATAATCTAAACATTTATTGTATTAGTACAAACAAATATTTCTTAACTTTGAGAAAGCTAAACTAATATTTTTAGATGCTCTACAAAACCTTATTCCTCTTGTCAATTCCCACATTATGTTGCACATTGATAAGTTTTACATCCTCTAACATGCTCAATCCCATTACTAAGGCACTTCTCATTTAGTAAAACAGTGCTGCGTCCCAAAGTTCCAGCTACGATAATACAAACTACAACTTGCTCTTGAAACGAAAATTTAAACCATTCATAAATATTGAAGATAGAGAACGGGAGTACGGCAAGAAATAGTGATTTAAGTTGTCATCAATTTACAATATAGCCTTGCAACAGAGAAATGAACCTCGAGCAATAGTCTGCAGTCTATATTAAAAGATCTTTAAAAAGTGATCAAACTGAAGTAGAAGTTGACAAAAATAGAAGAACTAGGAAAGCATATGGAACAGGTTAAAACTTCTCAAATTTTCATCCCTTACATCGACAAGCAAACAGATAAACATATGCAACACATAGAAGTTCCCAGAAATATCATTGCTTTATAGAAGACAAATAAGATAAAGATTAGTTAGAGACTTGCATAAAATAAGTTATACCTTTGGTATGCGCAAAGGATTCTTATTAGCGTATTCACATAGTTTTCCTATCTTCCGATCGTTTGGTCCTTCATCCTATCAAAATGAACAAAGTCCAAATCAAATAAGATTTTAGTTGAATAGCATGAAATTCAAAATAGGAAAGAATAGAATCTTCAAAATCAAATCAAGCTACCATAAAATCAAACATTGCATATACAAAAATGCTTTTCCATTTTAAATGTATCATGCATGCTTGAAGAATCACATTTCCTTAGAAGAGACAAAGACCAAGTGGCTATCCAACTTCAGTGGCAAGTAGAAACTAGGCTCTAGCTCCAAAATTACTTGAAAAGTATGTGCACTGGACAGATTAAAATGAATGGGAAAAGTAGAGCTATTCAAATCCTACCAAAACAAGCTTGACTAATGGAAGCAATATAGCATCTTCTCCATTAGTGGCATAACAACTGAAATTAAATTAAAAAGGATGAAAGATAATTACTTCAAGTTCTTTGATTAATAGATAAACAAGTTGCATGTCAAAAGGAAACAAAATATTGCCTTAAATATCAGTCCACCACACAAAAACCACAAGTTGGCCAACTAACATATTCAATGAGTGAATGGCATGAGCCATACAAACATCCACAGCAGTGTTTGGTGAACATAACGAAGAATGAGAATCAGCTAGAATAAATAACTTGTCTTTGCCTTTAACTCTTCATGATGAAATACAGAAATAATCAAAACGAAAAATCACAGCAAACTCAAAAAATACCAACCTGTGAATGAGGAAAAATATCAGAGATCAGCTTCTTGTACCTCTTGACAGGCTGCCTAGACCTAGCCCTCATTGCAGGGCAAAAGAAACAAAGGCTACCACATGCGGGCAAAACTTGCCTAGAAATCACGCCTGAAACGCTCATTGTATCCAACTATCCAGGGATACTAAAACCTTTTATTTTCTTTAAAATTGTGCTTTCTTTCCCTTCTAATCCAATTAAAAGTTCAGACTTTGGAGCCAAGAAGGGAAAGAAAGGCTTAAACACAAACGGGTACCTCTCTAATTCAATAACCAGCCTGTAAGCAACGATTCGTGATCACTTTATCTCCAATTCAAGATCAAAACTAATACAATGTACACAACAAATCCAGAAAAAGGGTTTGCGAGAACTATAAAGTTAAATAAAATTTCAAAACCACCAAACAATATGAAATTAACAAAATAGGTTATTAAAATTGAAAAAAAAAAATCAACCTAAACAAATACAATGTAGATTCAAAATTAAACAAAAGTAGTAATTAAAACCAAAAAAACTAGGTACAAAATTGAATTATAAATACAGAATTGAACCCAATATGACAAATGCCGATTGAAAAACCAATCGGACAAGCGGAATAAGATTAAATTTTGCTGAAAATGGAACATAACTGGTGAATTAAAGATAAAACAAATTAAAAATTGAAAAATTAAGAAAGAAAAGGTTTGAAAGAATACCTTGAAGCGCAGGGGAGAGATTGAAAATCCCTCTAAGCCATGCAAAAGAAATGTAGCGGAATTCCAGCATCACCCACACCGCTAAATTATACCAACTTTCTCTCTCTAAAAAATTATTTTCAAAAATAAGAACTCAAATATCTCTGTCGTATAAAGCCATTATAGCTGCGTTTAAATGACCGGCAGGCCTGCCAATTAACAATTTGAATATTTCCACACGTTCAAGTTCAACGGCTCATTACTTGTGGGGCCCTGCGTTTCTTAATAGAAATTTTTGATAGTGCAAGTCCATAATTTTTGTTTTTTAATAATAATAATTAATTTTAAGATATTATTAACTTTATTTTCTGACTCAACGTGCTGTCTTGATATTTTGACAGTTATTACCCGCCTTTTTGTACCCGTCCGCTTCTGTTACATACTTGGATTAAAATAGAAGCCTTACTAGTTTATTTTTTCCATATACTTGGATTAAAATAGTTCTTTCAAATTTATGAAATTTTCTGATCAAATTTTGAGAATAATTTTTCAGATTTTTAGCCCAATTTTAAATTGATAACACCTTTAATTTTCTAAAACTATGTATTGTGAGATTATAGCACCATTAATTTTTTCCAATGACAATGATAACATTTAACATCTTTTAGAATCAAATTGCATGATATGACTAAAATAACCCCAAAAGTATTATAAAAAGAGAAGAGATGATTTGATAACATCCCATTCCTTAAAGCAAACTCAAGAAATAATTAACTTGGAAAATATCCAGCTGTTTTAGAATGTTGGTGATTCGCGCAAAACATGTCATCAACAGCATCATTCAAAAACTAAGCTGAGATAAAAGACAAATTTACCCATTTCCATTCTGGAAACAGAACTACTATATATGCAGTAATTTGTAGTTAAACTACTGGGTCGTGAATGTTTTAATGGCTTTGGATTGATATTCAACAAACAGCATAGTGCCAATCCATCATTCTTATAAGGGATTAGACTGGATATACCGAAAGCAGTTAGATTGCAGTGCTATATGTAAGCAAACTTCTGAAAAGATCAAATTGGATCACGCAAGCTCATTCATACAAAATTTGACACAAAATCTTAACAACAACTTTCCCAGAAGAGCTAAGCCTGATAAAAAACATAATCAACCATCAAGCAGTCAGCGATTTTATAGGTGCCATAAAGCCCCAAACGTAATCCATATTCCTAAGTTGGAAGGATACAATATTGCAACAGCACTAGAAAATTAAGAATCAAGTGAGTAATAATTATCCTTTATTAGGTATCATATAGGATAATTACTCACTTGAAACATAAGACTTCAATCATACATATCCCAAATGCTGGGTTAACAGATTTCCCTGGTCATACTCCAGAAAACAAATCACCATAAAAAAAAACATTCTCGCCGTGCTTACAATCCAAATCTCTATGAGAAATAATGATGATTTACACAATCAAGGAATATTGAATAATGCTAAATCTAAAAATAAGCAAAATATGGAAGAGAAATAGAACACCAACATGCACATCAACAAATTAAGCCAACGAAAAAATTAAAATATTTCAAGAAAAAGGTGGTTGTGATAAAGAACAAAAGAAAAAGATTTTTGATATATCATAAATATGACAAGCTGAATGCTAACATTTATAAATTCTTTTCATTCCATATGCTCTCCGGAATGTAGAAAATAATGGAAATTTTAAAATTCACTAACTTCAAAAAACTATAACATCAATTTGGCTGTCAGAAAGACCACTCACAAAGAACCTTTTTGTGTTGTAAGTTCAATGTAAGACATCACAAAAGTCTAAATGGTGTTTTTTGTGCAGCTTTAGATCAATGAAAGGAATGTTTAATAGAATTACAACGGCTTCTCCATATTTATAACCAGATGAAATTTAACGGCAAACCCTTGCTAAGCTTTTGAAGTACCACCATGATCCCTCTCAACATGCTCCACAAGAGCCACTGGATCACGAAATCCTTTACTACACTTCGGACATACATCTATTGTCACCTTTGGACGAGCCTGGTTGCCACACTTTTCATGAACTTTCTCCACATGTTCTATCAGAGTTGTAACTGAGGAAAACCTCGCCCCACACTGAGGGCATCCCTCCATTCCCCCGGTGCCACTACTACTACTACTACTACTGCTCTGCCCCGTCCTGTTCGCCATCTGGAACTTTTGACTAATTTCACTACCCAATTTTGCCACGCTTGCTTCAGCTGAAGCTCGAAAGCTCGAAGCTGCAGTAAGAAAGTTAGACCACTTGGGTGAAGCTGAGGCCGTAGATTGGTTTGTTTTCGCCTCTTCTTTTCTATTCCTACTTAACATAGTCATAAATCCGAAACTGGTGTCAGGTTTCTTCGGACCAGGACAATTATGATCAGGTCCAAACCGATGCTTCAAGCAATGGTCCAAGGTGCAATCTCTGCACTTGATTGTGTTCGAGAACACTAGGACCTCCCTGCAGCCGCGGACAGGACATTTTTTCTTCTTAGTGACTTTATCATAGTTTGAAGGATCACAATCAGTATTAACATGATACTCCCAAGTGATATGCGGATCTTGATCGGATTTCAGACGAACCCCTTTGGCACAAAGGGGGCAGATTACAACAGTAACATCCCGGTTTTCAGCTTTTGGACATTGGTGTTGGTTGTAGCTCCGGTGCTCCAAACAAAAAACCTGTAAAAATTTCAGTAAAATACCATTTACCACAAATCAAGATTCCCCAACCAAAGATTCCGAGAAACCAACAAAAAAATATATAGAATCCTCAATTTCCCACAAACAAGAATCATTAAAATGAGTAAAATTCATCTTTAAAATAAAGATAACGCTATAAAGAATTGCAGAGAAATGATAAATTTTAATGGGATGGCATATTTCGAATTGAAACGGAAATATGAATAAAGCGGTAACAAAAAGAAAGAACTTTGAATAGAGAAATAAAATGAGAAGAGCACCTTGTTGCAACAATCGCAAGTGAAAGGCAAGAAATCGATCTGCTTGCAATCGGGAAGGCTGCAATGCTTTCCGAGATCTGGGAATTGAGGGGTCCCCATTTGATTTTCGTTATCACGTTTGAACAATCAATAAAAAAATAGAGCTACAAATTTGAATGTATCAAGAATCGGGATTCCGCGTTCAAGGAAAAGCCGCGGAATCCCAGAGGTGGAGCTGAGCGACCAAGAAAGTCAATCAAATTAATGTTTGTTTCTGTGCCTTGGTTTAGTTATTACGTTTTAATATTCAAGTCGGATTATAATATATTAATTTGTTTAACAAAATTGTATATAAAGATTAAAATAACAGAATTTATAAGGCAATATATTTCACGGTTTTTATTATAATCTTATTTATTATATAAATTACATTAATTATTGAAACTTAAAAATTGAAATTTCAGTGTATTAGTGTTGTGGAATAAGGAACAGATGGAATATAACAAATTAATATAAACACCTTAATTTTTATTCAATAATAGATTATCAATTTTTTTTTTTATTGGTTGAACAAAATAAATTTGTTATTATGTTTTGAGAAGCAATGCCAAGAAAATTAATTAATTCACCCAGACGATGTAAATATAACTTGAATTGTTTTATGCGTCTCAATTAGGTTAAATATTTTCAAAATTACTTAAGAGTTGAGTGAAAAACAATATTTAATTAATAATCAAATTAGTTACTTATAGATTTTATGTAAATTATTATCAAAACAATATCTCTTACAATAAAATATATGTGATTATTATTTAAATTCACAAAAAATAAAAATCTATAAAGTATCAGACAAGTAATTGAGATTTTAATAAAATAGAATTATTTTTAACGTTATTTTAAAAATAGACTCTAATAAGATAACACATGGGTCAAACACACAACCGTCTAAACTCTTTCATGTATATATACAAACTATGAAACTACATATACAAAAGTATCAGTAGAAATTATTTCTTACAAATAGATGTGTAACCCTGCATATTTAACATATAATCTCTTTCAATTATTGAATTTATTTTTTATTTTAAGTCATCTAATCATTTTAAAACACATCAATTTGTATTAGAGTGGTTGTATAAAAAGTTTGTCTATAAAGTATTATCCTTATCAAAAACATAACTATTCATAAAATGGATTACGGTTCCCATACATTTAATAACTAAAATATTTTCAAGCATAAAATAGATTAGGATTCTCACACATTCAGTAGCTAAATATTTTCAAGAACAAACAAATCATAATGCTCTTGGAAATGGGCTAACAACCCTTCTTCGATTTAACTTAGTTGTCAATGTAGCCTCTTTCAATTTCAATTTCACTTGTCAGTATAGTCTCTTTCAATTGCGTTTTAGTAGTGTTTTAAAACCTAGTCTAGCTCGATTAGTTGAACCGGAACCTGAGGCCTTCGCCAGGTCGAGTTAGTAATTTTCCTATTTACCAAAAACCTTAGAAATTAGGACGGTGATCGACAAACAATTGAAGGCTAGAATGTTAGGGCTTTTGAAGAAAAATGGTTGTGAATACAAGAGTGGTGATAGAGGTCATTTTCAATGAGTGAATCGACCAAAATCGTGAAACTAAATCAACGGCAACAACCCGAGACAATTGTTATGGGTTTTGGTTAGGAAGTTGAGGAGAGTATTTTCATAGTGATGAAGAAAGTCATCATCACCAGAAAAAAAACCCTATTTTGGTGTTTAGAGTGTTTTTACAAGATTTTAAACCTACAAGACTTATATAAAATTTTTAAGAGTGTTTTTGTTATATTTCAAACTTTTTAACATCGTCAAATTGGTTGAGTTTCACCCAGAATGGTTATTTAAACACTGCGTTTTAGTTCCAATTCTCAATTGTAGCTTAGAATTAGGCTGACAAACCTTCTTCAATTGTACCTCTCGATATAGCCTTTTTCAATTCACCGAGGATCAACTGATAGCGCACTAGGTTACAATCATCAGAAAGCAAAATTTGTAAACATTCCAAAGACGTACGACCGCATCAATGAACTCGGATATGAGGGCTGATAATTTGAAGAAAAATGCAGGAGCTAATAAGTATAATAACATTGGTAATCAAAGAAATTTAATAACATCCATCACAATTCAACCAACCATAATTTGATTCAAATGTCAAAATGTTAAAACAGACAATTGTCCCAAAAATACCAACATACTAGTCCTGCAGAAATTAAAAAGAAAAAAAGAAAAACATTTGTAACGAACAACGCTATACTATAAGGCCGAGCAAAATTCAAGAAACCTAAAATAGCTTAAGCATCAATTCCATGATCCTCTGCAATGAGTAGCTTCCCAGTTGGCTTTCCCAAGAGATCTGTGTACTCTTGGAATGGAGATTTCACAAAGCGAGTCTCCCTCCAAAAGTCAGGAGTGAGGAATCCATACGTCTTCAACAAACACTCGAAAGTTGCCTGCGGATTTGAAGTAAGTAAAACATAAGCCACCAACAACACTAAAACTAAATTTATTGAAGTAATATTCACTTAATCGTAAGTTGCAAGTATAAATTCTCACAAAAATTGTTATAGCAAAACCACAAGACATCAGTTCCAATGGAAATTAGATGGAATAACCATAACAAAATTTAAAAAATACAATGCATACGCAGTAAAATGAACTATACAAACAGAAGTTCAATGCTCGAGGATATAGCATCGATAAAAAAAATATATATATAATGGCAACTCGTCAAACAGAGCCCCTAGCAGAAAAAAACATCATTTTCAACTAAAAATAAAACCAGAACCTCATGAAATAACAATCATACATAGAAAAGGTCAAAACAGTAGGTTGATCAATTCAAAACATTTAACTACATTTGCCACACACACAATGAAGAGCTCTCTATATATCAACATAAATCTTAAGAATATATATAAATGCAAACAATTACCATTGCATCGCCAAAAAATAAAAAAAAGTGCACAACTTAGTTGATAAAAGTAACATCCATTGGGAAAACATAAAGAAACACAGAAATGGCAAGAAAACTCAACATAAAATACAACTTTTAGCCCATACAATTGAATGTGAAACAAAACTTAAACCTTTAAAGAACGCATTAGAACTTACGGAAACACAATTAACTTTTATTTGAAGCAGTTTAGCCAAATTATAAACTAAAAACCTTCATAAAATATCACCAGGACACCAATCAACAATCTGTACTTTATCGATAAGATTTACAGTATAAAAAAAATTCACAACAAATCGACAACGTTATTCAGTGATTTCAACATATCTTTAAACCTCCATCACGACTTAAAACCCTAGTTAAAATGCCACATTTTTTTAGCCACTAAACCTATAAATAATTAATCAAATCAAAGCCATACCAGAAATAAATAAAACTTATAAACGAAAAAAGTTTTTAAAAAAAAAAAAGGTAAAAATCTAAACCTTCACAAAGTTTCCAAGAGTTTTGGTAGACCCACGAGAGGATGTGAAAACATCCTCAATCCCAGCGAACTGCAGAACCTTCTTTGGGACCCTAGCAGCCACGATTCCAGCTCCACGTGGTGCCGGCACCATTCTCACGGTAACACTACCACACTTCCCCGTAACCTTGCAGGGCACGGTGTGTGGCTTACCGATCTTGTTACCCCAGTATCCTCTCCTCACTGGAATAACCGACAGTTTGGCCAGTATAATCGCTCCGCGAATTGCCGTGGCCACTTCCTTCGAGCACTTGACGCCGAGTCCGACGTGGCCGTTACCGTCACCGACAACAACGAAGGCCTTGAACCTGGTTCTCTGACCGGCACGTGTCTGCTTCTGAACTGGCATGATTTTCATGACCTCATCCTTCAACGAGGGGCCGACCAGCTGGTCGATAATTTGATACTCCTTGATTGGCAAAGAGTGGAGATAGATCTGCTCGAGGCTTCTGATCTTGTTCTCTTTAACTAAACGACCGAGTTTAGTGACTGGAACCCATTTCTCTTCCTCCTCTCTACGGCCAGCGCGGCGACGGCCACGAGGACCGCCACGGTCGCCACGGCCTCGGCCAAATCCACGCCCGAAGGATCCACGCTCGCCGCCTCGTTCTGCCATGCTTGCTTTTGGTTAGAATGGGCTTTGGGTAGGGTTTTTTGCGAGAGCAAAATGCTGAAGCGAGAGGCAGAGTGAGAGAGTTAAGAAAGTAAAATGGGGATATATATATGTGCAAGGGTGGGGAAGTTAGGGTTTGTGGCGCCTGTTTGGATTAGAGTTTAACACAATCTTGGATTGTCGACAAGGATTGGGCTGGTTTCAGCCTAGTCGTAAGGCCCAAAACAATTAATGGGCCTGGATTATTTGCTTCTTAGAATTATTGCTAGGAAGCTCACTGCGTCTTTAATAGATTCCACTCTCTAACTACACTCACTGGCTCTCCAATTCGGGGAATGATTTTAAGCCCCCTGACAAATTTATCCTTAAAAAAGCAGCTTATATATTCTCAAATTTCTTTAACACCCTATTTTAATGAAATAAATTTATCAATAAAAACGCTTTTACAAAGAAAAATAAGAGAAATTTTAAAGCACAATATAGAATGTGGAAAATAATGCAGGCAGCAATGCATATATGGATTTGAAATTGAAGTATTTATGTTCATTCATAAAATATATCAAGAGCTTCAAGACTGGGAGATTCATTGGGCATGGTGATAAAGTATGTAATCCACTTCAATGACCACAGTCCACAAACAGGAACCAAGAAAGCAAAATGGAGAAGGCACAGCAAGCGGATAAACAAACTGAAAACAAAACAAAGGAAAAGCTTACCAAGAAAATTAGGAATACGAAGACGTACCTCTTCTGAGCAGCCAAATGATATGATAGTTTTAGAACTTTTGAGTATTTCATTCCCACAAACTTCAACATCTGGAAGATGCTCTTTGTTATTTAAGTAATTGTATACCTCCTTGAATAGTTTAGATTATCCAATATGGATTTAGATATTCTATCTGCATTACTTTCCAGAAATTTGCGTAAGAGAATCTTGTAGAATTGCTTTATTCATAATTTTGTAATATAATTTTTATGTCAGAGAAATTTGAGTATATATAATATTATCTTTTGTAGTATTTTTATTTTTATTTAGGGGGCGTTTGGATCATATAATGTTTTATTATAGGAGATGTTATATTAATTGAAAGATAGATTACATTGAAGATTATTGGGAATATTTATGAAATGTGTTTAGTTGGTTCGAATAAATTAGTTAATAATATGTTTGGTTGGGAGGATAAATGGGTGGGAATATTATATAAATTACTAAATTGCCTCCTTTTTAAATATTAATATAATATTATTGTTTTTGAATCATTTTTTTAACCTCCTATATTTGAAATTTTGCTAAAACACCCCAGTCATATAAAACTTTAATTTGTAACAAAATACCTCCACCCACCCTAAGCCACTGCTGGCAGCCAACCACCATTACCATGCTAGTAGTCGACGGAATGGCCCACGACTGGCCATATATGGTCAATTGTGCGCTGGCAAAGCCATCTCCGGCCATGGATCACAAATCCATGGCTGTGAAACGGCCAAATCTTTGGCTGTGAAACGGCCATAGAAACGACCTTATCGACGCGCAACCAACTAGATTCCGCTGGTCATGCACCATTATGGCGACTACCGCCGGTAGATAGCAGTGGTCTTGGGTGGTTGAGACTATTTTTTAATTTTTAAACTTTTTTGTGGCTGGAGTGCTTTAGCTAATTTATCAAATATAAGGGGGTTGGGTAATTATTATTTGGTAGACATTTGAAGGTAATTGTATCTAAAATGGTATTTAATTAAGGGTAAAAAAGTAAGATTACCCCCTAATCTTTTAAGAACAGCACCTGAGGAGGGTATCTGATTACCCTTACATTACCAACAGTAAACACTATTTGCAATTAAAGATACCTATAATATTTTTATTACTTGCAAACCAAACAATGGAATCTTTTAAAATAAACGAAGATTACCCCTGTTATCTTACATTACCCCAATCCAAACGCACACTTAAGGGTAAATAACTATATGGGGACGTTTGGTTCAGGAATGCTAGATTACTAGGAATATTGGATTACTGGAAAGATAGATTACCTTGGAAGATTACTAGGAATCTTTAAGAAAATATGTTTGGTTAGTTGGTGGGTATGTTATATTAATATGTTTGGTTATGGGAATAAATTGGTGGGTATGTTATTTAAATTACTAAATTGACCCTCTTTTAAATATTAATATAATATTATTTTTATTATTAATTTTTGAATAAGACAACGTTATTCAGTGATTTCAACATATCTTTAAACCTCCATCACGACTTTAAACCCTAGTTAAAATGTCACATTTTTTTAGTCACTAAACCTATAAATAATTAATCAAATCAAAGCCATACCAGAAATAAATAAAACTTATAAACGAAAAAAGTTTTTAAAAAAAAAAAAAGGTAAAAATCTAAACCTTCACAAAGTTTCCAAGAGTTTTGGTAGACCCACGAGAGGATGTGAAAACATCATCAATCCCAGCGAACTGCAGAACCTTCTTTGGGACCCTAGCAGCCACGATTCCAGCTCCACGTGGTGCCGGCACCATTCTCACGGTAACACTACCACACTTCCCCGTAACCTTGCAGGGCACGGTGTGTGGCTTACCGATCTTGTTACCCCAGTATCCTCTCCTCACTGGAATAACCGACAGTTTGGCCAGTATAATCGCTCCGCGAATTGCCGTGGCCACTTCCTTCGAGCACTTGACGCCGAGTCCGACGTGGCCGTTACCGTCACCGACAACAACGAAGGCCTTGAACCTGGTTCTCTGACCGGCACGTGTCTGCTTCTGAACTGGCATGATTTTCATGACCTCATCCTTCAACGAGGGGCCGACCAGCTGGTCGATAATTTGATACTCCTTGATTGGCAAAGAGTGGAGATAGATCTGCTCGAGGCTTCTGATCTTGTTCTCTTTAACTAAACGACCGAGTTTAGTGACTGGAACCCATTTCTCTTCCTCCTCTCTACGGCCAGCGCGGCGACGGCCACGAGGACCGCCACGGTCGCCACGGCCTCGGCCAAATCCACGCCCGAAGGATCCACGCTCGCCGCCTCGTTCTGCCATGCTTGCTTTTGGTTAGAATGGGCTTTGGGTAGGGTTTTTTGCGAGAGCAAAATGCTGAAGCGAGAGGCAGAGTGAGAGAGTTAAGAAAGTAAAATGGGGATATATATATGTGCAAGGGTGGGGAAGTTAGGGTTTGTGGCGCCTGTTTGGATTAGAGTTTAACACAATCTTGGATTGTCGACAAGGATTGGGCTGGTTTCAGCCTAGTCGTAAGGCCCAAAACAATTAATGGGCCTGGATTATTTGCTTCTTAGAATTATTGCTAGGAAGCTCACTGCGTCTTTAATAGATTCCACTCTCTAACTACACTCACTGGCTCTCCAATTCGGGGAATGATTTTAAGCCCCCTGACAAATTTATCCTTAAAAAAGCAGCTTATATATTCTCAAATTTCTTTAACACCCTATTTTAATGAAATAAATTTATCAATAAAAACGCTTTTACAAAGAAAAATAAGAGAAATTTTAAAGCACAATATAGAATGTGGAAAATAATGCAGGCAGCAATGCATATATGGATTTGAAATTGAAGTATTTATGTTCATTCATAAAATATATCAAGAGCTTCAAGACTGGGAGATTCATTGGGCATGGTGATAAAGTATGTAATCCACTTCAATGACCACAGTCCACAAACAGGAACCAAGAAAGCAAAATGGAGAAGGCACAGCAAGCGGATAAACAAACTGAAAACAAAACAAAGGAAAAGCTTACCAAGAAAATTAGGAATACGAAGACGTACCTCTTCTGAGCAGCTAAATGATATGATAGTTTTAGAACTTTTGAGTATTTCATTCCCACAAACTTCAACATCTGGAAGATGCTCTTTGTTATTTAAGTAATTGTATACCTCCTTGAATAGTTTAGATTATCCAATATGGATTTAGATATTCTATCTGCATTACTTTCCAGAAATTTGCGTAAGAGAATCTTGTAGAATTGCTTTATTCATAATTTTGTAATACAATTTTTATGTTAAGAGAAATTTGAGTATATATAATATTATCTTTTGTAGTATTTTTATTTATATTTAGGGGGCGTTTGAATTATATAATGTTTTATTATAGGGATATTATATTAATGGAAAGATAGGTCACCTTGAAGATTATTGAAAATATTTAGGAAATGTGTTTAGTTCATTCGAATAAATTGGTGAATAATATGTTTGGTTGGGAGGATAAATGGGTGGGAATATTATATAAATTACTAAATTACCTCCTTTTTAAATATTATTTTTTGAATCATTTTTTTAACCCCCTACATTTGAAATTTTGCTAAAACAACCCAGCCATATAAAACTTTATTTTGTAGCAAAATACCCCCACCCACCCCAAGCCACTGCCTGCAGCCAACCACCATTACCAGTTGCCACTAGTAGTCGACGAAATGGCCCACACTAGCCATATATGGCCGACTGTGCGCTAGCAAAGCCATTTCTGACCATGGATCACAAATTCATGGCCATGAAACAACCACATCTTTGGCTGTCAAACCGCCATAGAAACGACCTTACTGACACACGACTGACTAGATTCCGCTGATCGTGTACCATTACGGCGACTACCGCAGGTAGCTAGCAGTGGTCTTGGGTGGCTAAGGCTATTTTGTTAACTTTTAAACTTTTTTGTGGCTAGGGTGTTTTAGCTAATTTATCAAATGTAGAGAAGTTGGATAATTGTTATTTGGTAAATATTTGATGGCAATTGCGTCCGAAATGGTATTTAATTAAGGGTAAAAAGTGTAAAAAAAAAATCAAATTACCCCCTAATCTTTTAAGAACAGCCCCTAAGGAGGGTATCTAATTATCTCATATATTACCAACAATAAATACTATTTACAATAAAAGATACCCGTAATATTTTATTACTTGCAAACCAAACAACGGAATCTTGTAAAATAAACGAAGATTACCCCCGTTATCTTATATTACCCCCATCCAAACGCACCCTTAAGGGTAAATAACTATATAGGTTTACAACTCAACGTTTTCATTCAATATAATAAGGATGCATTTGGTTGGGGGTTATCCCCCATGATTGAGGTAATGTCA